AAGTGCTGAAAATTCCGAAATCGATATCGATCGCAGTCACGAACCTTGTTTGTAATTTAAGGATCGATAATGGTGAACGACTTTTGTCAAAGGCTGTACAAAATCGTACAGGTCGTCCCAATACGTATTTATATACGAAGCGATGCATACATACTTACATACGTGGATTCTGGACAGTGAATGGAAGTCCTAGTCATACGTCGATCTTCATGGACTTCTCGATGGAAACCGTGAGGTTTCTTTTTCTCTCCTCTGCGTCCCGCCGTCCTCTTCCCTAGATCCAGTCTGGCCTCTCTTTCTTCTTACTCCGGCCTTTCATTCACCGTCTTTATCCGACGCCCGCGATTTTCGTTCGCTCTCTACAGGCCTCACCGAGCATATCACATGACTCAAGGCATGTGGCCGACAGTTTACTACGGGATTTCGAACCGGTCGGTCGCTTCACAGAGTACTCCGAACGAACCGATCCTTGTGAACAAGCCGAAGTTGTAAAGAGGGAGCCTAATCACCGACATGGGGGCACACGCAAGAAGTATCAACGATACTCTCAAACTTGCGTCAACAATTAAAGGTACTGATTCTTTATTTCAGTTGCCTATTTTACATATTCCTCTGTCAAAAATTAGACAGTGCAATTGTTAAATGAATTATAACAAATTATATCTGAAATTGGTTGAGCAAAATATTTCATGTTCCGCAAATTGCACTGAATCACAGGTAGAACTCAACAGGTGTCAAGCTCTGTATATCGCGTTTCGTTTGTTACTTGTAGTACCGTAATAGTGTAGGGGTAGAGCTGTAGGTGTGAACGCACAAAAAATTTTGTTGGTTTTTCTAGCCGAGTGAACGTTATGGAATTGTGTGGCTTTGCGAAATGTGTTATAAAAACCAATTTGTATGGGTAGATCAAGCCGTAGTATCGATACTTTCTCTAAATACAAGTATTACTATGTATTCGATTTCACTTTGATGTAACACAAGTCGTGCTGGGTTTTTGCAAAATAAAAAACGGGATTTCTGAGTGAGATGAAATTTAATAAGATCTACACACAGTAGCATAACGGTACAAACAGGTAATCCAGGTTGTTGGTATAGAAAGGAAGCAAATATATGATCGCGGTGAACCGACGAATGAAACGCGGATATTGAAGATCGCGATGCCAAGGGAGTAGGATAGAAGCTGGTACGAGCAAGCACTGATAAAAATCTTAGATTCCATTAACCTGCCTCGATCAGCGAATATAATGGCTCTTCTATGTGCGGTTCGTATAATATGATAACACTACGTGTTACACTGTCATTTGAAACGAATAACTATCAACATGGTAATTGTTGTGACTTACAATTATAAACTATGGGTGAAGATACTGCCAAGCGTAATAACATTTCTTTACTTAATGATATTCTTGCCTTTTGTAAATTAATAATAAACGAGTAGACACTGCAACTACTGCAAAATCATATAAAAATTTGAATCAAATAGAATGGCCATAAATTCAACCACATATCGGTTATAGATATACGTATACAAAGTACGACGTACGTATTGTAGATTATTGGGTTTTATGAGTGCGTCATTTTTTACGTTTATCTACAGAGTAATGATATTTCAGTTGATATCGGTGACGTTTAACGTACGCCTCTCGTTTTTTTTTTATCACTTGAACTTTCATCCAGAGAATACTTCACTTTCAAATGCATGCGTTACAAGAAAGGAATCTTCTTGACACGTAATACTAATTGTAAGTGCACCTACTGGACTAGTTAATCCACACGGTGTTACTTACCGGAGAGTTAAACGCTTAAAAACAAGGCAACTTACGCGATATTCGTATCAGCGACACAGAAGCCTTTCAATGCTCTTTTTGCTTTATTGTGTAATAGCATGATCGAACAAATACTACGTGTCAAGTGAATCGTTGCCCCAAGATTTTGCATCACAGAATACAAAATTCTCTTGGTAAACGACACATAAACGACACATAAACGATCTTTAATCTTGCGTCATGTGGTTTTTTTTATTATAGTGGATAAACCCACTGAATGCTAAAGTACAAACAGAGGAACGATATGATTTTTAGTTATACGATTGTTTTATGTGTTTTATGTTTATGTCTTGAATGAAACAATATAATAAAATTTGCATTCATGTTACGCAGTGCATGTATGTAAAATTAGATAATTATATTTTTATTCATGTCAGTTTCACGTATTCTGAATTGCTTCGCTAAGATTGAGCTGTAGTAAATACAGTATAGCTCACCTCAGACCCTTCCATTTCCTGTTGAGCACGATTGTGGAATGTCATCAGGGTGGCGTACGTGCTCGAAAGGACGTCATCCGTAAGTTCTTACGAAGAGCGGAAGGTGTATGATGACGTCAATCATGTCAAACCATTAAACCTCTCGTCCTTCCCGCCTCTCATGCCCAAAAATGCATCCCTTGCGTAAAATACAAAAATGTGCCATCAGATATGCTTCCTCATATGTAATACATACATACACAGCACAAGAATCGAGTTTCGCAATATTCTACGGTCATTGACCACAAATTTATGTAACTCGAGCAATAATTACCGTATAAGCGTAAAATGATACGGAATTTTCGAGTGAAAGAATATCTTAGTTTCTATATTTCTCAAGCGTAAACATGCATTTTAAACATGAATACAAGAAAAATAAAAGAAAGTAAAGAATTCAGGAAAAGATTTTGAGATATGGCAGGTAACGAGGCCATCAGGATTTTTGTGAAAAAAAGTGCAAATTACGTTGTTTATTTTGTAAATTAGCATCCTGGAAGTATTCCACATTTTTAGTAGCTCATATTTATAAATAGATATATATATAAATGTATGTATGCATCTTCGTTGCAGATGAAGCATCAATAGCATCGTGGTCGACGACAGAAGAGCCTTTTAGTACCGAAGAAGAGGACGCGATAGTGACGTTGGTAGTAGTTGTAGCCGGTATCATTGTTGCTATAGTGATACTTTTTTCAATGGGATTATTTATCGACTGCAAGCATCAGTACGTAGAAACGATAGGCATATAATATTTAAGTAAAGTTCTTCCCATGAATTCTATTACGTATGACTTTCACGGTAACGGACAGAATAATACTTCATAAAATCGTTGCGAATAGAAGAATAAGTAATAAACTATTCTCAATAATTATAAAACAATTTTAAAGAGCGCGTTTATACGAAACTAAAAGAGAAAAGAGAGAAAATTTTACAAACATATGTTATTGATTGTATCTGATTTTGTTACAGGCAGAAGAATGCTCTAAACAAGAAGAAGTTGAAATTGAAAATGCCTCCGATTTCGCGAACGAGGAAAAGTCAAAAGGAAGATGTGAAGTCGTTGGCAGCGGACATGTGTCCGAACAGTGCTACCGACGCTGGATTTCGAACACGGGACGTGATAGTCTGACCAATTCATGATTGATACGTCTATCTTCAACCCGAATGAGAGCTCGCTATACTTGAATCGAGTTGTGAAAAAATTGGCAAAGTAAATTATAAACGCTTGTGTTTTTGCAACTGCGATAATACAGTTGATATATGGAAGAAAGAGTGCTCGCATCAATGACCTCGACTTAATACAGTGAACTGTCGTGTTTGAAGTAGGCGCAAAACTGCAAAAGCACACATAAGCTTCTTTTGCCAAGAAGCCTGTTTATACGCGTAAAACTGTGATTTACGTATCCCTATTTATGTATCAACAATTTATTGATATCCTTCGATCGTATCGATCGATTCGTATATGCAGTTAAAAATGTCTCTCTTCATGAACAAAGAAATTTCGTTCCAAAGTAATAGTTTTAAGATATAATACGTACACGAAGATCAACGATATGCGTTCAAACAACGATACTTGCTCAATTCAATTGGATTAAGTACGAAAATGGAAAAAAGTATGTGTGTCGACTAAAATAGGATTGTGTCTAGCGGTTTTCTAAAGTCTAGTCGTTCTTTCGGACTTGTAAAGTTTTGTCATACGATGAAACATCGCAACGTGTTAACAATAACTTCATCACCATTAACTGAATCGACTGGCAAATTATGAAATTCGAAAAAATACTGACTTTAACCGGAGTAGTAAGTCCACATATGTACGATATGTGAACGCGTCGGTATTCAATAGAAATTTTAGTATTATTTCGAGGACGTGTGTCTATTTATACGTAAATTACGTGTATATAGGAAAGTGATAATTG